CGAACGAAATTATCTATCTTCGCAGAATTTGAATTTATTTCGCGGAATGAAAATGAAGTGAGACACGAAATTTAACAAAACCGTGTTCCAAAGTATTCGTGAAAAGGAATTGTAGCCCAGCCAGGAAATGTAGTATGTCTCAGATAACAAGAAGAACGAGGTTCACGCGTTTAGCTCGATCATTTGTCAGTTAGATCGAGCATGAACTCGCGAAGATCGACGCCCAACTCTCCCCACCATCACCACCCCTATACACAATTTATCTCTGCTCGAAGAAACAGAGGAGAGACAAGGTTATATTCCTATACGATAAAAGTGGAGAAATAATCTCTCTGGAAACTTTCCCCCCTCCCTCCAAGATTTCGAATGCAAAGAATGGAAAGGTGGAAAGGTGGCGTGACATCATTTACGAAGGTCGACGTCACATCGCAGCGCAAAGGTTCCATAGAAAAGCCCGAGCTGTTGACACGCCGGTCTATTACGTACTGGCAGCTTTTATCCAACAAAAGAGAGCATTTAGGCGGCGAAATTGTAAATTCAATTTCCTGCAAACGTCCAACCCTTTCCCATCCAGCCTCCTTACTTTTCAAAAAAAAAAAAAAACGGAATTATTTTATCACGAGGAGGAGGAATTTTCTCGCAACGGACGTCTGTATATAATCTTTCTTTCTTTATCATTTGGAATTAATAACGATCTTTGAAACGGCAAGTTTTTAGTACAAGAATATATTTTTAAGCTCGATAAAGAAAATAATCCAATTTCTACAATTAATTACAATTATTTTTGTCATCCAATCGTCTCTCTCTCTCTCTCTCGTTTGCAAGTTCAAATCGCTTAATAAATGACTACGATTTTTGTATCAATTTTTGTTCTTTAGAATCAAACGTTCATAACATTCTGTAGGATATTTTACATTTGCTTGAGTAAATAATTATTATTCAAACACTTAAAAACTGCAATATTATCTCAATTTGTATCAGCAGATATTCGAATGTAAGAAAAGTTCTACTCTCCTCTTCGAAATCCCGGCAACGTTTTAATGACGCGGGAAGAATGACACCCGAGAAAACCGATACCACATACTACATTTCTCTTACATCTCTCGAGGAGGGATATAAAACTGTGCGTGTTAAGCGCGTGTCTCCATGAAACGACGAGAATTGTTCGCTCTTTCTTCGACCAGGCGCTACTACCACCACACTATTGTTCTTTCGAGTTCTTATTCCCCCTCGTTCTGACCCAGTTCGCCAACAACAAGACAGACGAGAATTCCTCCAGCCGATCCTGGCGTCCAGGTGTTAACTTTTTCTCCAAACTCTCGAAACACCCCCTTCGAATTCGGGAAGAAGATCTTTGGCTATCCTAAAACAACTTCCTTGAAAGATCGAGGAAGAAGGAAGCGAGTCAGTGAATTTTTACTTCCTCCCGGCTTTGAGCCAAAGAAAAGGAAAACTGAATAGGCTTCCAAGCTAATGCGACGAGTAATTTTTATTTTTCATTATCAATTTAATATAACCGTGAGCAAATAAGAAGCAAATGTATACTATTTTCTATTGGAATGTATAAAAATATCGCGAGGATCGCTCGAACGATAAAAAAAAACACTGCTAAAAATAAAAAATGCGTTTAAAAATACCTTTCCAAACCACTCCTCTCTTCCACACTTTCTTCCAAATTAGGGAACGAAAGGGAACGAAAAGATTAAACACCTCCCTCCTCGCGCGTAAATTGTTTACCAAAGGCTGCCAAGAGATATTCCCTTCCTCCGTTCGATTCGCGCCTCTTGAATATATTCATGATTCGGTTGAAATCACGGAGGCGGCCCGTGGTGTCCGACAGCGCCGCTTTAAAATCGCGTTCGAACGACCGAGCGACGAAGCGAGCGCCGGCTGACTTCGAATTTTATGCACCCTTCCTTCCTTCCTTCCTTCCTTCCTTCTCGAATTTGTATTCGCCGTGGGGGTGGAGGAGAAAGGGCGGAAAGGTTGCGAAGAAGAAGGAAAATTTGTTCGATTTATGCCTCTACCTTCCCCCCTCTCGGGGTTTGCCTTGAATTTCTGAGGAGGGAAGGAGGATTGATAAGGTTTCACGATTAAGTTCTTCGAAATTATATTTTCGAGAAGTGGATTTTTTTTTCGTTTGATGGAGATTGTATAAATGGAATGATCGATTTTGGATTTTTGGTTCATTTATATTCGATTGATTTACGATGAAGCTTTGGTTAATTCGGAAAATTGGTTTTCGATAAAACAGAATTCTACGTGGTATTAAAGGTGTAGAATAAATAAGTATTTTTAAGAAAAAGCAATTTATTGTCTTAATAATGAAAGGATTAGAAATTTAAAAATTTTTGCGAAAGGAAAAATTTAAGTATTTCTTTCTTTTTTTTACGAGTTCAAAATTCATTGAAACAATATCTCCATTCGTCGTCGTAAAATCAAGCTTCCAAATTTTTTTACGCGTTCCTGCGATGCGATCACCATGCAATCTCGCGAAAATCTCCTCGAAGAGGAGAACATCTTGAGATCTCTTTTCTTCGTGGTAAAAACTTTACGTTGAGGTAAGAAGTTTTTACATCCCCGTCCATAAGTTGGAGACACAAAAGTGAAAGAACAAGATATTTTCAAGATATCAAACGAACGAATAACAATACGATATAGTTCAGGATAAAATATCATTAATAACGAACGATTGTTAGAGTACAAAATAATATGACTTGAGAAAAACTTAACATTTTTTTTAGAAATATCACATTGGAAAGATTCTAAAATTAGCCTAACGATCGATAAGCTGATCGTTCGAACCGAACGTTTAAAATTGGCAAAGATGAGCGTAGTCGAATCGAGGAGAAGAAGGGATTGATTTAATGCGTGTTTCGGGGAAGGCGGCTCGTGACTTAAGCCGCGAGCAACTCGGCTGCCGGGCCAAAACAAGCGACCGTCTGTAAACAGAAGTTTGGAACGAGTCGAAACGGTGGAGAGGAGAAGGCAGCTCGAGAATCGCTCGAAATTTATTTCCGCTCGCTTGTCGTTCGAGAGTTGTGTGTACTTGGAACCGAATTCGTTACCATGTTAAGAAATAGAGAAGAAACCGAAGGGAAGAGGTATAGAAACGAAATAATTTTTCCCTTTCGAGTGGAAAGTTTCTTTCTCCACTCGATTCCTATTTGTTTAAATCGTTGAGAAATAAAATGACAAACAACCTCGAAATCTTTGCTACGATTCCAGAATATAGAATCGAATTTGTTGAAGATCGATTAGAAATAAAATTGTTGATTGAAATTCATTTATTTCTAAAAATATCCTTCTTGTCGAACTTTTTTTTTTCTCGGACCAAAAGCTCGGTTCGAAAACTTTTCCCCCAATCTTCAGCGTCTCCAATCGAAGCCCTCCCTCTCCCGAAGACGCATAAATTTGTTTACTTCGAGAGCATGTAGCTTCCAGACCGAGGTCGAGTGAAAACAACCGAGTTCGGATTGTCAAGAAGGGAAGAAGGAAGTTTAATCTCTCGTATCTTCTTGAATTTTGTAAGGACATTTGATATATTCGAATAAATCGATCCCTCTCAACATTGGGGAAAATTAAACCACTTGGTCTTCGATAATTTATCAAAAAACCTAAGTTGGCTCGAAATTTTTAACCAATTACTCTCTCTTCTCCCTCAATTTTCGACCGCTCTAAGATTTTCTTCTTCGGGATTCGTGCTCCGTTCAAACGGTGCAAAAACGAAGGGATCTCGGTCGAGCGGAGGCAAACATCGATTCGCGCTGACAGAGGCGAGACGAAACGCGTTCGAAGGGAATAGAATCGTCCCTTTCCACCCTCTTCTTTCTAGACTTTTTTAGATAGCGTACAGGAGGTGTCAAAAGTGGAGGTGTCGAACTTTAGATTAAACTGGAAAAATTGATTAAACATATATATACAAAATTGAATCGATGTAATTTAGTAGAGCATAGAGAGTTTGGTTTATATTCTCGAAGGAATTTCACGTGTAAAGGCAAGGAATAAAGGCATAATTAAGGGATGGGATAAAGTATCGTTATTGTCCGATATTAAGCTTTCGTGAGGAATGAGAGGGATATTGCGGGAAGTGGAAATGAGATTCGAAAGCTTCTTGCGACGCCAGCTGAGATATAATTAAAAGAAAGGGCAGATAAGGTGAGTTATTACGGGTTTAGAGAAGGCTGTTGAAAAGTAAAAGTTCTAATCTTCTAGCTACAAATCCAATTTCCAAAATGAATCAATCCAACCAAAAATCGTTTTATTTTTCCTTATTTTTCTTATTTTCCTCGTATTTCATTTCTTTTACGAATTACTCGTTGCCCATTTCTTTCTTCTCCAATAAACAATCCTGTACTCTCCCCTAAATTCCAGCCCTCATCTCGCGGTGACCTCAGCCACCAACTTCTTCTTCCACGACTCGATCCCCCTTCCCTCTCGTCGAGTTTCAGATATTTCGCTCGGAAAAACTCGGTTCTTGTCCCGATCTCGATCGATAATAACGGTCCCTTCCAAACGTGGCCGAACAATCATCGAATCAGGGTGATACATTGTCGGTGATAAATTCATAAAACTCGTTGAATTAGCGGTCAGTTGGTAAGTTGACACACGTAGAGGGATACCTTCGAAGGGGAAAATTCGCTGAGGAGGGCGAAAATCGAGGAGCGATAAAGATAATAGATTGAAATTAGGATCCGTCGGAAGAATCGGTGGGAAGAAATAACTGAGCAAGAGAGATGAAACGGGCAGAGATTCGATAAATCCGACCTAATTTCATCGGGCCATCGGTGAATGAGCACGAGAGTTTCCCTGTGGCAGTTTTGAGATCGATTAATAATAATAATTCGAAATTTCTAGGATGAAAAAAATTACTGTCTTCTCCGTAAATTAATTTAATTCCGAAAATAAAGAATTGTTGGAACGAGGGAAATTTCTCAATTTAACAGGAAAGATTTGGAAAAACTCGTGTTTGATCGTTCTTTCCCAGCCGAGGGTGTGAGATCGATTTCATTTCGCCAGCGGAAGTTTCGATATCAAAGTGAGTCTGGCAAGTGGAATATCATAGAATATCTCGGCCATCGTGGAATAACTTTGCACTTTCGTTACACGCCTTTTCTCTTATCGACCAGGCATAAATCCTCAGCGGGACAATAATAGGGGAACGGGGCCGAGGACCACGCGTCACCCTTCCAGAGAAACCCTCTAAACAGATTCGTATCTGACTGTAAAAACGCAAACAGTCGTTTCTCATCGAGGAAACGTATCCCCCTCATCGTGTATATTTCAACCGACCGAATCGAACCAGGATCGAATCTTCTTCTATCCACGTTCGAATCTTACTTTTGAAACATGAATTTTTCTCTCTTTTTATTTTGTAATCGAGGGATGTCAGTAAATTATTCGAAGATTGTTTCATCACACTTTTTTAATCCTTCGTTTGTTCTTTTTTTTTTCTTTAAGTTGTACGTAGAGATGTACGTATTACGTGCACAATTTGAGGCATAACGTTCGAACGTGTTTTTCAGCTGGAGGAAAATTACAAGCATTAAAATCAGGAATGCACTTTTACGTAATGAACCACCTTAATAAAAAACTTGATCATTAAAAATCAACCAAGCGGCCACCAAACGCTCGAATTACCCGAGAACAACCCCATTCTCTTTCACTTTAAACTTCCCCGAGCTCCAAACAACCCCCATCCCCCAATTTTCTCGCCACGCCCCTTCCCGAAACCACTTTCCTCGAACTATTCGAAACTGGAATAGCCCTGTAACGATACATATACAGATAATTATCCACCAAAAAGATATCCACCCTCTGATCTCTGATATTTTTCTCAATGTGTCATTAAGAAGATCATCCTCCTGAATAACGAAAATTTTATTTCCTCCTCGCTTTAAATCAGATTAACTTTCTAACGAATTTATCGCTACGAACACTTGATGTGATCGAAGAGAAAATCAAACTCTCAATCTTTAATCGGGCAAACGATTAAACGAATTTCTACTTAATTCAATTAAACTTTGAACCTAAATTTGTTCATGCTTCACATCGAGGTCTTATCTTTCGTCTTAAAATTATTAATCCAACTTGTCTCTTCTTTTCCTTGACAAAATCGATCCAACGAGATCTCGGCGTATTAAAAGAATCGTTTCTCAAACGAACGGTGCACGATATATGGCGCTTTCGATCCCATCGAGGGGTCGAAACACACCCGTCACAAACTTTTCCCTCTCCCCCTCCTCCTTCAACCGCCGTCCCGATTTTTCGAATCATTCTCTCGTCTCGATCCAACTCGGCCGCAGTAAAATCCAGACGCTCGTGCTGCGGCTGGCATATCAACTATTTGTTATCCGGCGAAATAACGAGCTGATACGCGAGCTCGCATAAACACGGGACCGCGGCTGCGGCTGACAACGGGTGTTCCGGGGAGCTTTATCTGTCACCGGTATATGCTACACTATTTTCGTTGTGTACACACGTGTAATCGTTGCGCGTGAACAATTACGTGGCTGTTAGCCGAAACTGGCGTGGTGTTTGGCGAACTTCTGCCGGGGATCCGTTCGATGCCCGCCGGTGTTATTGGGGGGGGGGGAGTGGTTATTGGTGTCTTTTGGGGGAAGAGAAATTTCGCGAAGGAAGGAAAGTAAATAAAAGGATTGGAGAGTGGAAATGTGTCTTTCTGAGAAATATAAATTCGTGAAATGAAGAATCTGAGAGTTTGAGGACGAAAGGGATGGTGTTATTGGTGTCTTTGGAGAAAGGGAAAATAAAGTCTGGGAAATAGAAATTCGTGAAATGAAGAATCTGAGAGTTTGAGAACGAAAAAAGTGGTATTATTGATGTCTTTGGAGAAAATAAGGATTTGAGAGGCCTGAGAAATAGAAATTCGTGAAATAAAGAATCTGAGAGTTTGAGGATGAAAGGGTATTATC